GATGTATTGCCGTTTTCACGATTGTGATCCATCCAGTCCAGAAGCATGGGAGGTTTATCCACTTTCTAAGTTCTGTTTTGATTTCCTTTTTCAGGTTTTTAAATTTTCATAATAGAGGTCCTTCACTTCTTCGGTTAATTCCTAGATAATGTATTTTTGGTGGCGCTATTATGAATGGAGTTGCTTTCATGATTTCACCAACGCTTTCCTCATTGTGGTCATACAGAAAAGCCATTGATTATTGAGGGTTAATTTTATATCCTGCTGCTTTGCAACAGTTTTGAATCAGCTTCAGTAATTTGGGAGTGGAGTCGTGGGATTCTTTAAATAGAAAATCATGTGGTCTGCAAAGAGGGAGAATTTTACTTCATCTTTCCTTATTTGGATCCCTTTTATGTTTTTTTTTTGGGGGGTCCAGTCATACGGCCTGAACAATGGGCCTGGGAACTGTCCCTCAGCTCTTCAGCTCAAGGCTAGCCCTCTACCACTTGAGCCATTGTGCCACTGCCAGCTTTTTTCTTTTTGCCTATGTCGTGCTGAGGAATCAAACACAGGGCCTCAAGAATGTTAGGCAATCACTGTACCACAAAGCCACCTTTCCAGCCTCTCCCTTTTATGTTTTCATCATGTCTTATTGTTGTAGATAGACATTCTAATACTAAATTTAAGAGAAGTGTAGTGAGTGGACATCCTTGTAATGTTCCTGAGTTAAGAGGAAATGGCTTTAGTTTTTCACCATTAATTATAATGCTGGCTGTAGGTTTGTCATATACAGCCTTTATTGTATTGAGGAATGTTCCCTGGATTCCTAATTTTTCCAGAACCTTCATCATAAAGGATTTGTTGGATTTGTCAAATGCTTATTCTGCATCTATTGAAATAACTATGTGGTTATCCTTGCCATTTGTTGATGTAATGAGTTATATTAATTGACTTGTGTATATTGATCAATATTTGCATCCCTGAAATGAATCCTGTTTGATCGTGGTGTATGATATTTTGGATGAGTTTTTGATGTCAACTCCTCAAAATTTTGTTGAGAAGTTTTGCATCAATGTTCATCAAAGAAATGAGTCCATAGTTCTCTTTCTATGATGAGGCCCTGCCTGGTTTTTGGATGAGGGCTATGATGGTTTCAAAGAATGATTTTTGTAGTGAACTTTCTCTTACAATTTTATTGAAGAGTTGGAGGAATGTTGATGTGAGCTCTGCTTTGAAGGCCATGTAGAATTCCGCTGTAAAACCATCTGGTCCTGGGCTTTTCTGAGATGGGAGGTCTCATTGCTGTTTCTATTTCAATGCTTAATATGGGCCAGTTAAAATGGTTTAACTCATCTTGGTTGATGTTTGGCATGTCAATAATTGCTAGGAAAAGATCTATTTCTGCCAAGTTCTCAAACTTATTAGCATAAAGGTTTGAGAAGTACTCCTTTTAATCTTCTGAATCTTGTTTTTTTTCTGGGATGCTGTTTCCATTCGCATCTCTGAGTTTATTTTTTTAGGTGTGTTCTCTTGTTGTTTTGATAAGATTTGCTAAGAATCTATAAATTTTGTTAATTTTTTGGAGAACAAACTCTTGTTTTGTTGATTCTTTCTATGTTTTTATTTTGGATTCTAATTCGTTTAATTCTGATGTAATTTCAATTATTTCTTTCCATCTACTGAATTGGGATTTATCTTGTTGCTCTTTTCCAAGGAGGTTCAGATATCTCACTAAATTGTTGGTTCCAGATCTCTCCAATTTATTGATTTAGTAATTAAGAGCTATAAAACACTCTGAATACTGCCTTTGCCGTGTCCAAGAGGAGCAAGTAATTTGTGTGTTCATTTTTATTTTTTGTTTTTTTGGTTTTTATTGTGTCCAGTCGTGGGGCCTGAACTCTGGGTCTGGGCGCTGTCCCTCAGCTCTTCAGCTCAAGGCTAGCGATCCCCAATTCTGGCTTTTTTTTTCTTTTTGCTTATGTGGTGCTGGGGAATCGAACCCAGGGCCTCATGCATGCAAAGCAAGCGCTCTACCACTGAGCCACCTTCCCAGCCCCTCATTTTTGTTGAATATCATGAATATTTGAATTTCCTTTCTATGCTCTTCCATGACCCACTGGTGTTTCAACAGTGTGTTGTTCAGCCTCTATTTGTCACAGGACTTTTTGGTGCATTTTGGTGTTGAGTTCTAATTTTATTCCCTTGTGGTCTGAGAGAAGGCAATTTAAAACTATAATGTTTCTGAATTTGGACAAGTTTGATTTGTGACCTCAAATGGTGTATATTTTGTAAAATTTTCTGTGAGCTGATGGGGAAAACATGTATCTGATGCTACTGGGTGAAATATTTGGTAGATATCTGTTAAATTTAATTGATCCATGCAGGTGTTTAGATCTGCAGTTTCTCTGTTGAGTTTTTGCTGAGTTAATCTATCTAGTGTGGATAGTGGTGTGTTAAAGTCCCCTACAATTAATGTCTTTGGATCTATGTGAGCTTTGAAGGAAAGTAGTGTTTCTTGGATAAATCTGGGTGGTCTTTTGTTTGGAGAATAAATATTTAGATTTGTAATATCCTCCTGAATGGGAAATCCCTTAATTAGTATAAAACGACCTTCTTTATCTCTTTTCACTAATTTTAATTTGAAGTATATTTTATCTGATATTAGGATAGAAGCTCTCACTTGTTTATGGGGGCTATTTGCTTCGTAGATTTGTTACAGCCTTTCACTTTCAAAATGTGTTTGTTTTCATGGGAAAGGTGTGACTCCTGAAGGCAGCAGATAAAAGGATCTTGCTTTTTAATCTAACTAGCCTTTTTACGTGGCTTAATTGGAGAGTTAAGTCCATTAATGTTGAGAGTTAGGACTGAGAGGTGTTTGGGAGTTCCTGCCATGTTATCCACCTTCTGGGGGATGCGGCAACTGGGTTCTTCCTATGGTTCTTGGATTCTCAGTTTGGGTGCTGTTTCTTGGCCTTTATTGTGATCTTGTTGGTTTTCTATTTGTAGGACATCTTTAAGTAGCTTTTGTAGGGCTACTTCTTGGGAGATATATTGTTTCAGATTTTCTTTGGTATGGAAGGTTTTTCTTTGACCTTCGATTATGAAGGAGTGTGTAGCTGGGTACAGTATTCTTGATTGATAGTTGTTTGTCTTTAGGGCATGGCATACATCATTCCAGGCTCTTCTTGCTATAATTCTCTCTGCTGACAAATCTGAGGGGACTCTAATTGATTTCCTCTTATAGGTGATTGATCTTTTCTACTTGACAGTTTTATGGATCTTTTCCTTGGTCTGAATTGATACTGTGCAGATTATAATGCAACATTGCCATGTCCTGTTCTGGTCTGGTATATTTTGGGTTCTAAAAGCTTCTTCTATTTGAATAATCCTAACTTTTTGCGTGTTTGGGAAGTTCTCTGCTAGGATCCTATAAAACAAATGTTCTCGACCATTAACTTCTGTTTCTAGGTGCTCCTTTACAAACATTATCCTCATATTAGACTTACTGATGGTGTCTTCCAAATGTTGAATAGATCTATCCCATACTCCTTGGATTTGTCTTGGATAGTAGTATGTTATTTCTCTATAATATCAAGGCTGTCTTTAATCTCCAAGATTCTATCTTCTGCATGGTTTAACCTAATGTCATGACTTTCTACTTTGTTTTTAATTTCTTTTCCTTCTAGTTGGTCTGCTTTAATGGCTTCAAATTCTTTGTTAGAGCTTTCTTTTAGATCTTTTATGAACTTCTATACTTCCTTAATTTGGTGTTCAGTGTTTATTCTCAAATGACTTAGTTGATTGTTTATGGTTTCCTTTGTTCCCCATTCCCTCTGCCAGGCTCTATTCAGGATTCCATTTGTGGTCTCCCTGAATTCTTTCAGCTGTCTCTTTATGGATTCCATTAATGTCTCTCTTGATCTTTGTGTATTCTCATTCCGCTCTCACAATTGTTGTATTACTCTTTGATTAGCTTCCTCATGTTCATGCAATTCCTGAAGTTCTCTTTGACTGTTCTCAACCTGCTTACACAATACCTGTGTTTCTCTTTTTCTGTTATCATCCTCCTCATGCAATTGCTGTGTTTCTCTTTGATTGTTGTCAGCCTGCTTATGCAATTCCTGTATTGCTCTTTGATTGTTCTAAACCTGCTCACGCACTTCCTGTACCAATCTTTGAGTAGTTTCTGCCCTCTCACGAGATTCCAGTATTAATCTTTGGTTTGCCTCTCTCTCTCCCTATCATGCTCACACTGAGTCCTTTGCAGGTTTTCAATCTTTTCATTCACCATTTTTACCAGTATTGTTTGTACAGATTTTTGGGAACTGTCCTCTGGATTATTCACTAACTATTCTGTCAACTGTTTATCATGAGTGGGAGTCCAGATACCTGGTCTTGCCATTTTTCTTCTGTTTTTCTGGCTTTTTCTGCTCATTTGGTATGAAAGTAACACTAATTTTGTGCTAGAACATAATTTTAAGGCAAGCATCAACCAAAATTTGGTAGTTGCATAGTCAAAAGGCTATAGACACAATCTAGTTCAACAGATACAATCTATTCAGCGTCAAACAACTATGGATTAATGGGCTAAGAATAGCAAAGAAAAAAATTGGCAAACCAGAAATTATTAGATATAGGGAGAAATGTGGGGAAAAATAGGATTATAGGGTGGTGACAAGGTAAGATGAGAGTGAATTTAACCAAGGCCTAATCTCAGAGAGGGAAATGGATTGGACAGAATGATAGGAGAGACATTAAGAAAAAAAAAAGAAAATATAGAAAAACAAAAATTTAAATTTAAAAAGATAAATACTTGGTTCCGGGCCCGGAAGGCCCGCAGGTCAGAGCTGTACGTTAACCCGGCTGGATGGAGGCAGAGGCGTTGGCCGCGTCCATGCCAGCCCCAGGCGTCTCGACTGCCGTGTCTTTGGCCCTGGAGATGGCACGGTCGATGGAGGAAGCGATGCACATGGCCAAAGACGCCCTTGAAAATACCGAAGTCCCTGTTGGCTGGGTTTATGGTCTACAACAATGAAATCGTGGGGAAGGGAAGAAATGAAGTGAATCAAACCAAAAATGCTACTCGACATGCAGAAATGGTGGCCATTGATCAAGTCCTAGACTGGTGTCAACGAAATGGCCAGAGTCCTTCTGCCGTGTTTGAACCTACCTTGTTGTATGTCACTGTGGAACCCTGCATTATGTGTGCAGCTGCTCTCCGCCTGATGAAAATCCCGCTGGTCGTCTATGGCTGTCAGAATGAACGATTTGGTGGCTGTGGCTCCGTTCTAAATGTTGCCTCTGCTGACTTACCAAATACGGGAAAACCATTTCAGCGCATCCCTGGATATCGGGCTGAGGAAGCTGTGGAACTGTTAAAGGCCTTCTACAAGCAAGAAAATCCTAATGCACCAAAATCAAAAGTTCGGAAGAAGGAATTTCAGAAATCCTGAACTTATAATGAAAGAGGAAAGCCCCATGGTGACCTGGATGGAATCCCCAGCCTGAAAAGCTGCTGGCATGGAGGGAGCATATATTATGTGTTGTTTGTTATTCTCCGGGAAGACGGAGAATAACATTTGTACTCTTAAGGGAACAAATTAGTGCTTTTTGAAAGGCTGACAATTGTAAACAACTATTAGCTTCTCCACTGCTGAAAGAACATTTTTATGAAGGGGGGGGAAACTAAAGTTTGAGGTTTTAGGAATTAGCAAACAGTACATGTCTTTAAGCCACAGCTTCAATCCATTCCAGCTGAGTGCAGGCTGGGATTTCAGTGTCCATCCACACCCCATCACCTGCACTCATTTGGAATAGAAAGCCATGGTCACTTGTGTCCTTTACAACTGGCTTTTTGGAGGTGGAGTTGGATTTTCATTCTTTATAGCTGTTGTGGTCTCCCAGTGTATTGGCTGCGTGAGTGTGAGTGTGTTTGTGTGTGTGTTGGCTTTAGGGCTTGAACTCAACATGTTGTTACTCTCTGGCTTTTTTGCTCAAACTTGAGTCACACCTCAGTCCTAGCTTTATGTTGGTTAACTGCAGATGAGTCTCACGGACTTTTCCCCCCAGCCTGGCTTCAAACTGTGACCCTCAGATCTCAGCATTTTTTAGTCGCTAGGATTACAGGTGTTAGCCACCAGTGCTGGGCAAGTCTGGCTTTTTTCTACATTGTATATTATTAGTATACACTGTATACATGTGATTGTGAAACCTATTGAATACATAGAAAAAATGTTTTTAAACAAATGCCTAAGGGTCATTTAAAAATTGTACCATGTTGCTATAATAGAATCTTAAGATATTTCTGTTTTTAAGGGGCAAAGCATTAAAGGACAATAACATAAATAAGACAGTTCTTTGGTTCCCTGAACCAAAACAGGGTCTTCTGCCTCAGCGAGATTATATTCTCACAAGGAGAGATGGATGAAAAAAACGTAGTTATATACTGGAGGGTGAAGAGTTCCAACAACAGTTGGGCATAGTGATACACATCTGTAACCCCATCACTTGGAAGGCAGAGGGAGTTCAACAAGACACTGTCAAAGCAAAAAGTTACAGCGAAAGTAAAAAGGAACAAGGTGAAGAAGAATGCCCACTGGTGTGAATGCCAGTTGCAGAATTAAGTAGCATGATACATTTAATCCGAATTCAGCTGTTCCTCATTTGAAAATACAGGTTATAACTGTTAAATTTAATACCTAAAATTTGAAACTGCACAGGAAAGAATATCCACAAGAAAACTTTCAGTGTTACTGGGTGCAAGAAGTGTCCTGACGTTTGGCAGAGCTGCCCCGGGTGCAGTATACGTCTCTTCCCAGAAGGGGTCCTCAGCGTTCCACCAGAAGGCTAGTGCCAGGCCCCAGAGGACCGCTCCTCAGATGGGTTCATTTCTTCAGTGGATTCATTTCCTTGATACAAAGCATCTGTATTTGTTGCTTCTGCCATTTGAGCGATGTCTCCAACTTGTTTGTTTTGAATTACTTTACAGACTGGAATGAAATTGTGGTGGAAGTATTTTTATATTGCTGAGAGTAGCAGCTAATCACAGTTACATGCTTCGAAGGACTTATAACTGCTTGGTTTTGCGTGTGGTGTTTTTTAACAGCATTTGAGACATTTTATGAGGAAGGATATGCATGGTTTCAAATCTACAACAATGATGCATGCACCTTCAATTTTATCTACTCTAAAATTTGTCTTCTCATTAAATGTTAGTGCCATGAAAAAAAAAGATAAATACTTAAAAATTATGTAAGTTTATAGATGATATTGAGAGAAGAAAAGGATAGGATGAGAAGAAGGGAGGGATAGAAAGGAGACACGAAAAACAAAATACCACAGTAAAACCCCAAGACCACACTATAGCTACCAGCACGACTATGTTTATTGCAGCATTATTTACCATAGCTAAAATAGGGAACCAACCCAGATGTCCCTCAGTAGATAAACGGACAAAGAAAATGTGGTATATATACACAATGGAATTCTATGCCTCCATCAGAAAGAAGGACATTGCCCCATTTGTTCAGAAAGGGAAAGACTTGGAAAAAATTATATTAAGTGAAGTAAGCCAGGCCCATAGTAAAATAGGTCCCATGGTCTCCCTTATTTGCAACAACTAGTATATGTCTGAGTCAAGCAGAAAAGGTCAGATAAATTAACGTCAGGGGAAAGAACCCCAAGATAAGTATTCAAAAGTTTTTTTCCTTTCATGCAATTGTTTCTATCATATATATAAGATGATTTCTATGTTTCTTTGTATGTCCCTTCCATACGGTATAACCCGTGCTTTCACTGTATTTGATGTTGGTATGATTTGTGGAGGGGAAGGGAAAAAAACATCATTTAACTAGGGATACAGGTGGACCCATTGCAACAATGAGATGTACAAGTCATTATGTCGACAAAAGAACTTTACAACTTTGGTGGGTGGTGGGGGGAAGTTTGGGTAGGAGGATGGTGGAGTATGGCAAGGGATAGAAGGGGAAACAAAGAGGAGGCAACAATTCTTGATAAGAAAGGTATTCGTTACCTTGCCCATGTAATTTTAACTCCTCTGTATGTATTCTCACAATTGAAAAAAAAACAAGGAAAAATGGAAAAAACAAAAATTTAAATTTAAAAAATGAAACACTTAAAAATTATGTAAGTTTATAGATGATCTTGAGAGAAGAAAAGGATAGGATGAGAGAAAGGGAGGGATAGAAAGGAGATACGAAAAACTGAAAACTAAAAATTCTCAAAATTTGTTACTTGAAAATTATATAGGTATAAAGAGAAAATGCTGCTATTAAACAATTTAAGCCAAGGAGGTGGCGGGGAAGATGGCAGAGGAGAAGCTGGATGCTAAACAAGCTCTCCCATAGAAAGCAGTTTTAGAGTTCCAGTGAACAGTCCTAAGCCAGAGAATCACACCAAGTGTGCCATCACAGGACAGAGAGTTAGGCCAGCTAAGGAAAATCAAGGCAAATAGAGAGATGTGAGCTCTTGCCAGGAGGCCGCCACAGATGTGACCCAGTTTTTGCAGCCCCCAAGAAGGTGGATAACATGGCAGGAAATCCCAATTACCTCTCAGTCCTATCTCTTAACATTAACGGACTTAACTCTCCAATTAAGCGACACAGACTGTCTAATTGGATTAAAAAACAAGATCCTTCTATCTGCTGCCTTCAGGAGTCACATCTCCTGCCCATAAAAACAAACACATTTTCAAGGTTAAAGGCTGGAGCAATATCTACCATGCAAACGTCCCCCATAAACAGGAGGGAGTTGCAATCCTAAAATCAGATGAATTTGACTTCAAATTAAAATTCGTGAGAAGAGATAAAGAAGGTCGCTACATACTAATTAACGGATCTCTCCTTCAGGAGAATATTACAATTCTAAATATCTATTCACCAAACAATGGAACACTCAAATTTATCCAAGAAACACCACTTTCCCTCAAATCCCACATAGATCCAAAGACATTAATTGTTGGAGATTTTAACACACCACTCTCCCCACTAGATAGATCAACTAGGCAAAAACTCAACAGAGAAACCGCAGATCTAAACAGCTGCATAGATCAACTGGATTTTACAGACATCTATCGAACATTTCACCCAGCAGCATCAGAATACACGTTTTTCTCAGTAGCACATGGAACATTTTCTAAAATAGACCACATTTTAGGCCACAAAGCAAACTTGTCTAAATTCAGAAACATTGAAGTTATATCTTGCATTCTCTCAGACCACAAGGGAATATAATTAGAACTCAACACCAAAAGCCACCAAAGAAAGTCTGGTAACACATGGAGGCTGAACAACACACTGCTGAATCACGAGTGGGTCACTGAGATTAGAAAGGAAATTCAAATGTTCATGCTATTCAACAAAAATGAGCACACAAATTACCAGCTCCTCTGGGACACAGCCAAGGCAGTACTCAGAGGCAAGTTTATAGCTCTAAGCTCCTATATCAACAAATAGGAGAGATCTGAAACCAACAATTTAATGACACATCTAAACCTCCTTGAAAAAGAGCAGCAAGATAAAGCCCAATACAATAGATGGAGAGAAATAATTAAAATTTAATCAGAATTAATTGAATTAGAATCCAAAACAACTATAGAAACAACAAAACAAAGAGATGGTTCTTCAAGAAAATTAACAAAATTGACAGACTTTTAGCAAATCTCAGGAGAAAAAGAAGAGATCACACCCAAGTAAATAAAATCAAAGATGAGAATGGAAACATCACCTTAAGAAACAACCAAGATTCAGAACATTATAAGGCAATACTTCTCAAAACTTTATGCTAATAAGTTTGAGAACTTGGCAGAAATGCACCTTATCCTAGAAAATATTGACATGCCAAAACTAAACCAAGATGAGTTAAACCATCTTAACAGGCCCATACCAAGCATTGAAATACAGAGAGCAATAAGAGATCTCCCAGCTAAGAAAGTCCAAGACCAGATGGTTTTACAGCGGAATTTTACAAGGCCTTCAAAGCAGAGCTCACACCAATACTCCTCCAACTCTTCAATGAAATTGAAAGAGAAAGCTCACTACCGAACACATTCTATGAAGCCATCATAACCCTCATCCCAAAATCAGGCAGGGACTCATCAAAGAAAGAGAACTATAGACCCATTTCTTTGATGATCATTGATGCAAAACTTCTCAACAAAATTTTGGCCAATCTACTTCAACAATTCACCCAAAAAATCATACAACACGATCAAACAGGATTCATTTCAGGGTACAAAGCTGGTACAATATACGCAAATCAATTAATATTATTCATCACATCAACAGGAGCAAGAATAAGAACCACATGGTTATTTCAATAGATGAAGTAAAAGCATTCGACAAGATGCAACACCCCTTTATGATGAAGGTTCTGGAAAAATTAGGAATCCATGGAACATTCCTCAATACATTAAAGGCTGTTTATGACTGACCTA